TGAACCGCTGCGATAATGAACTATAACAGAAACAAGAACGAATGTGGAAGATTGTGGTCGGGATTGAGTCTCTCGTTGTGGGAGATGCTTTGTAAGGCTGGATGGTTCTTCACGAGCTGAGGTAAGTAAATATTGTTCGTTGTCTTTTATTTCAATGAAATAATCATAAACCTGCAAGCCAATTAATACATTCAAACTCAATGAAAGTATAACAAAATTATAATAAGATTGTATATGGAATAAATAAATAAATAGCTCACCTAGGCGGTTGTCAGCCTCTTAAAGGCTAGTTGTATCTTTACCAAATTTCACTTTACATTTAATGGCCACCTCAGCGTCCTTGGTCTAATCTCAGACACTGCTGGGGGACCAACGATGTATGCTCATATAACCAGAGCTGCATGAAACATGATACAATAATTTATTGCAATGCCCAAAATTATGAATTGTAATTTTCAGACTTATATAAATAACACAAACCGTTATAAGGAATACAAAATTAGTAATGTATCCCAACGACTGATCTTTCTTTATTTTCGTGGCACAGATATTCAGTTGCTCAGTCAGAAAATTACATACAGTTGCTGACCAGTTATAAGCTGTAAATGATTCTACATCCTCACAAATAGACGACAACTATTTCGACATTCTAAAGTTACTTGAAGGAAAGAGTAAATTTGATATTAAAAACTTTATTAATAATTGTAAAAGGTTATTCGAGGACTCCTTTGGTGAATAGTTCAGCAGTGCGATCTTTAATTGTCTCGCATTCATACTAGCTAGCGAGACATGACTCCAGTATGCAGGGAAACCTCTATTTGGCATGCCAATCAGAAGTGCAACTCCGTCTGCATAAATTTTAAGTTCTTTCCCTCTGAAGTTGAATGCCATTCAATCAATATTTCAACAATTTATTATGTGCATTGTTAGAATATGATCTTGAGGGTGCGGCGGAGGTTTGGAGGGAGTTCAAAAAACTGAGCTAAACTCATGACTTCCAATTTATTTCATGTTTCCTTGTCCACTGATGGTCGAATCTTATCAATGACTTCTCGTACTGCAGATGGACGACATCTACAGTTCATTGATTTTGCGCTAAAATACCTACAATAATACATCATAATAGTTTAAGATCAAATTAAAATCCAAATGATGATAAAAGGATGAATTTAAAAATAAAACCTAAACCATAAAACCTAAAACATAACCAAAACCATAACCAAGCTTTAGGGATTCGAAATGAAACCCTAAAAAATACCTAGATTCAATATTCTTCTTCTTCTTTGACTTCTTCTCTT